GGTGGAAGAGAGTCAGTCCCTTGACACCCATTGTCCGCATTATTGCCTTTGGAGTAGCTTCTGCAAGTGATATTGAAAGCATAACCATGAGAAAAGCAGGTGTTCCAGCCAAACTAAAGACTTTAATGCAGATATCAACTATGCAACCATTATAGTAACACCAACAAGTAATAAAAATCTCCCCCCAACCCCTGGAAAAAAATCTTCCTCCTATCGGCATCTTATGGTTCATTTGGTTGGCAAAGTCTATAACAAAAAAATTATAAAATCCAAATACAGATAATAAAGCCGAGAAAAGGAGAAATCATCCAGCAAGATAACTTGCCTTTACTTGAACCAAAAAAAGAGCAGAACCTTGTATTCAAGTAAACATTGCTACTGATTCGATGATCCCTATATGGCGTGGTCAAGGAGAATTAATTGTAGGGGACCTTTTCAAATGAAACAGGAGGTAATGGCGGCACTAATTTAGGCTAATTAATAAAACTAAGCACGTGCAATTCAGAGTGAGACAAAGGGTTATTCTTTTGCCAAGCACAACTAACAAGAGAAAGCAGTTATCTTATCACACCAATTCGAACGAATATGTAGGTCTCTACGAATATTAAGATCTTTCCCCAATAAGTATATCTGCCTTTTACCTGATCTACACATGTCAGATAGCACCTGCCTATCTTGTCTTGATTGCATACTGGTACTGGAAAATTATGTTCCGTTGCCAGCATAATATAGTGTTTGCTCAAGGCAGGGAAAGAAATGGTAAAGGCAGAGACTTAAAAGAACTGCAGTACACCAGCAACAGTTCATTTGGTACCAATGGTAACAAACTAGCACCAAATTCAGCTTTTTTCAACTCTTCTCCAACTTAAGCCATTACCTTCTCTTCCACAATACGAACCCATTTTTCCAGATTTTCCCAAGCTTATCCAGTTAACACTAACCATGAATCTGCCCTAAGAAATCAACTTTTTGGGTTATGGGTAATAGATGGTTTCATTTCCAATTTCCAAACTCACCCAAGATCAATGTCCTGGGGCTTTGAAAAACTTTCCCCTCTTGTCAGTCATGCGAAAGAGAAAAGCATAGAAAACTGCCACAATTGGTTGGTAAATTAAGCTCAAAGTGCACACTTTAGAGTAGAAAGGCGTAAAATAAGTAATCGAAGCACAAAAACAATTATAGAGGTAAAGGAATTAAACTAAACGTGTTTGTGTCATTCTTTTCAAAAATTGGTACATAAACTTGTTTATGTCATGTAAAAGAAGAAGAAAATATTTTGTGGCTACTATGGAAAAGCCAAACTAGATGCTATTTCTGATGACTCTTCATCAAGATGATAATTCCGATGTAAAGAGAACCAATATAGAAACCAAATTGAAATATTCATACTCTGTAGGAGTCATTTAGATGCATCACTACTGCTACACTAGCATTTTGAACATGTGTCTTTCTATCTATTATGGCATTGGTCAAAATTAAGCAAGATTTTCAGAGAGGGTAGAAAAGGGACTTTACGTTCTCTTATCCTCCCAAATAAGGACTAATAAACTGAATGTATCTTGAGTTAATAAGAAGGTCTCCAGCTTTTTAATTCTCCCAATAATTTTTAACGATTTTTTTGAAAGTTCAATAGTTTTCTTTTTCACACCTCAGCGTAATTCTTCTTTTTCTCCAGGATAAAGGCTGTTAGGTATGACACTAGGCTGATTTCAATTTGTAAATTATTTGTAGTGAAACCTCTTAATTTCCAACTTGCACATACCACCCATTAGTCCATTAGGTAAGGTTTTGGTAGGCTAAATGGAAATATTTCAGCAATTTAATTAAGGTATTTTTTTATAACCAAGAAATCCCAAGTGCCCTTGGCGCACATCTCGAAACTCATTGGATAATGGGCCCATCCCTCTAACCTTCAGCAGGACCCGTAGTAGTTTAACTATGGTAATGGGGTTGGGTGTGGGGTTTGAGGAGAAAGGAAGTGGATAGATCTAATGAGTAGATTGGACCTAAAGGTTTTGTTCTGGTTAAAACTCATCTTAGCTGTAAGTTTTATCTGCCTCATCTCAACCCTCCATAGATGCAAATGCTAGCCATTCGAAATCTACACAACAATTGGCTAACCAATAGTAAACTATCTCATTTCTCAGCCAAACAAGAAACAAAAAAACATGTACTAAATGCTAAATGTAACACAATACATAACTTATAGATCCTCAACATTCTAAAAAGTTCAAAAACCAAAAAAAGGGGTAAACAGAAAAAGGGCAAATGAAAAAAAGAGAGATTCTTTGCAAGCTCAGCAGTTTTCCCTTTACAGTTTACACACTCCCAATGTAATTCTTCTTTTTCACTTCAAAGCAGCCTCCTGACTGGAAATGCTTTTGCAATTTAACTATGGTAATTGAGATTGGGGTTTTATTTAACTTTTTTCCCATTATTGCTAACTGCTTCATTCCGGTCAAAACTCATCTTAGCTGTAATAATAACTTCCAAGTCTCAAAACCCTCAAGGTTGCTCAAACAGTAAACCCTCTCTTCACCTCCAACCTTAAGTTTTCATCAATGGAGCAAAAAAGGTGGGAGCTCAAAAAGTCTAAAGCCTCATCTTAGCTGTAAGAATAACTTTCAGGTCTCAAAAGCCTCGGGGTTGCTCAGACGGTAAACATTCTCTACATCTCCAACCTTAAGTTTGTGGGTTCGAGTCAAACCTTAAGTTTATGTGTTCAAATTACCAAGGGAGAGCATAAAAAAGGTGTGAGCTCAAAAGGTCTCAAGCCTCTATAGATGCAAATGCTAACCTTCCAAAATCTACACAACAGTTGGCAAACCAATAGTGCACTACCTCATTTTCTCAGCCAAACAAGAAACAAAACAAACATCTAAATGCTAAACATAACACAATACATCAACATCATAAAGATCCTCAACATTCTTGAGAAGTTCAACAACAACAAAAAAACACAAACTTGATAAGAGGGGCAAATGAGAAAACAGAAAATACTAACTACTGGGTCCGCCAAGTTGAGTAACAGCATCAATGAATCGTTCATGAAGATCAGCAGTCCATCGAAGACGAGGTTTGGGATCTGAAGTTAACACAAGACAAGGGTCTCCATTAACCCTATTATGATGATGAATCCCGACATTAACATCACACCCATGAATAAATTCATCTTCTTGCGATTGAATCAATCTGGGAAACATTGAATCAACACCTTTTGCTTCTGTAATCGAATTTCAACAAGTTTTACTGTATCGATTAAGCAATTTTCATAGAATTGAATGCAGATTCAAAGGGTAAGTAGAAAATTTTGGGGTTTTCGCCAACCCCAAAGTCAAGAATGAAATGATTCGGTACACAGTGATGTGATTTGGAGTTTATTACCCGGCGGTTCTCCATTGTTTAAATTGTGTAACCAAGATTGGTTTTTTTTGACACCACACCCGTTTGCACGCATTTCGATTAATTGATAAAATACTTGTATTTTTGTTATTAACAAGTATCGGGTAACTTTGATCATCAAAATTAGGAGATATAAAATTTATGAGAATTTCTTCATTATTTTGTCTGTTGTGAAATTTGAATGCGAACAGTAAAATTTATGAGAATTTCTTAGTTATTTTGTTTGTGGTGAAATTTGAATGCCAACAATAGTGTTCTATTGAAAAATTAAAATATTAAATAAATCGAGTTGATTCGGTTCAAATTTTATATTGCAATATCTTGGTAAGCCTGAAATTTGTTTTTAAATTTTTTGTGTATTTAATCAAAATTTTAGTTATCAAAACTCTATAACCGAGAATCGAATCAAAACATCAATAAAAAAAAATTAAATAAAATCAAAACATCAATCTTTTAGGTGTATCGTCTTTAATTATGTTATCTAAGTGCATATGCTTTTATTAGTAGTGAGAGATTTGATTTTGTGATTTTTATAAGTTTGTTTTTAGTTTTATGGAGTATCTTTTTTGTAAGAAAAAGTTTATTTTTCAATTTTTTGGTAAAGATTGTATACTTTTTTTTTCTTCTATTTCTAAAGAAAGAGAAGAGGACAGTTCTATAATTTGTCCAAATATAGAAAGTCTAATCATTGGCCCACCAATGAAAGAAGGACAAATTATTTTCCCCATTTATTGTCTTTTTGGAGGAAAAAAAAAGCTACTCCCTCCGTCCCTATTTACTTGTCCATATTTCCTTTTTTGGTTGTCCCTATTTAGTTGTCCATTTTGACAAATCAAGAAAGGACAACAAATTTTTTCCTATTATACCCTTATTTACACTTCTTGAAAATTGTAAAAGTGTATGTTGTTTCCCTCCAATTTATTTCACTTGAATTCAAATAAGTGGTTGTAATTTTGAAGTGAAAAGTTGTCATAAGGGTAAAATTGTAACTTCACTGTGCTAATCATTGTTGCCTTAATTTGTGTGCCATTTCTAAAGTGGACAACTAAAAAGGGACGGAGGGAGTATGTATTATGTAACACTATCCATCAACATTTGAGTAGACCACTTGTTTTAAAAAAAAATTGCTATTGACTTAAACATGGGTACACCTAAGTTATTTTATTTCTACGAGATATTTATAGTTTTTATCATGTAATTAATTCTATCTATTAAGACTCGAAAAGTCACATAATATATTTTTGCTTTTGTTGTTGAACTTGAAAACTCGTGGTTCTCCATAGTCCATGCATGTTATTGACCATTAGATCACTTGAGACAACGTGATTCTTCTAACACTTCATTGATCACTAGGTAACATTAAACTTCATAATTCTTCTCATTTTTCACTGACCACTAGATCACTAGGTAATTGCTTAAATCACGAATAAATCTGTTCATATTGTTGGTCGCAAGCGATGAAACCACTAGATCACTAGGTAATTGCTTAAATCGCGAGTAAGTCTGCTCATATTGTTGGTATCAAGCGAAATAAAGGAGAAAGGTAGAGATAAACTAACAATAAAAAATTAGTCTATTTATGATGAATCCTCACAATGTTGGGGAAAGTACCTTGTAAAACATTAAACACTTCATAACAGTTCAATCAATCATCTGAGATTCTTTAATACAAAAATTGGGAACACAGATATACAAGAAACTATCTTCATGTATTTCAAGATCACACACCTATAATGCAGATTCTAAAAAATGTTTGTTCAATTAATAGATCAGCCTCATGGGATCAAGGACTTCAGGGACATGAGCATCATATCCGATAGCCATGTAGACGCTTAGCCCATCGTCTAGCCATGAATGGATCATGATATTCCCAGCCCTCAACGCTGCTACTTCTTCCACCAGTGTTCTCAACAATGTCAATAGTATCCGTCAGTTCTTTCCTGTCACCAACTCCGACTACAACTTCACCTGTTTTAACAGAATCATCCATCATGCAATCAATGTAGGTATATACCACGCGAACTTTGTCTAACTCTTCCAAAAGCAATGGAATTCTCCTCTCCTCACCCCCTCGCAATTCTCCAAGCCTCACGATCCTTGTGTCCTCTCCAATCATCAATGCAATATCTCTAACTGCACCACATAGTATTTTAGCAAGAAATCTCTCAAACTCATGCATGACGAATCCATTTGAAGTACCAAATCCAAATCCCACATGAAACTTATGGATTGTAATGGGAAGTTCCAAGTGAAACCCATGGAAAGATCTTGTTGGATTGTCAGAAAGATGTAGAATAAAAGAATGAGTATTTTGGTGGCTGCGTTCTCTTAGTATCTTTACTCCTTTCTTGAGTCCTTCTACTGGATCAGCTTGGCCCATATAAAACAGTCTATCAATAACTTGAAGTGCTGTGCGTTTCCCGTAAGAGGTCATGCACTTGAGAGGGAAGATACGTGCTGCGGCAGAAGAGTAGGTAACAATAGCCAAACGGTCTATAGGCCGCAATGAAAATACCACAAATGCCATGGCTTGTTTCATAAGCCTCAGGTGAGGTCCATTTGGGCTTGCCACTAAGACTAAGTCAGTGGCTGGCTGATGTGCCAATTTTAAGCAAAGATACGCACTACTAGAGGAGCTGCAAACCAGGGGGGACAGCCCAGTTTCTACAAAATGTTGTGCTGCTGATTGTGAAGGTTCTAAACAATGCTGAGGATAATGGCATGAACTAAAGCTAGACTTCGGATTTGAGCAAGGATCAAACACAGAGGTACTGTGAGGGACAGGTGATAAAGATAGATGCAAACGGTGAATATTTGATGTATGGTCAGGCTCGACTGGATCATCATCATCATAGCGAGCAGAACGTAAAAAGGAACGTCTATGTACCCGAGAAGTAGCAATTGATTCATCAAGAATCTGGAGAATGGGATCAGCCTGATTGCTGTGAGGAGAATAATGCATCTTCAATGTCCGAGGTAGCTGGGTCCAATGTGCACGGCAAACGGGGCAAGTAACATTGCCATGGCGGATGTTGGATGATATGCAAGCGAAGTGAAAAGCATGAGAGCACTGTGCTGTGAATATAGCCTGTCCTGGGCTGCTGTCGCAGCTATAGCTCAATGAATCCAGGCATATTGGACAAAAGTTCTGCCATACAATAGAAAGAGAAGCATGAGTTTTCTAAATTGCAAATGGAAAACCAATGGAAAGGAACTAATATATACATAATAACCATTCTCATGCAGGACCTTGGAGGTTCTTTGTACTTACAAGCAACATTGAACATACTGATGCCGAAAAGAAACAGACCAGCTCTTAAAACACAAAAAAGAAAGAAGAAGAAAAAGAAAATCCCAGATATAATCTTTTAAAGGAAAAGACTTAAGGTGTTTTGTCCTGCAAGAAGAATCCTTTTTAGAATGTTTAATCAGATGGCACAGAATAACTACTCATTCATCAAACAAGGAAAAAAACATAGCACAAGACACTCTTAAGAGTGCCCCTCCCCCCCACCCCCAGGTGCGCTTTCATATTTCATATTTTCCTTCCCAGTTGTCAAGAAGGGATTAGTTGAGTTTAACATCTAGAAGTAGAATGTCATACTGAATGCACCAGAGATGCAACAGATTCTTTCTTGACGGATGTAATCAATGAAAAGTTGAATTATTCAGTCTCTTATTTTCTAGTTTAGCTCCTTTTTTTTTGGCTTATTACTATGCTTAATAAAATCTGCACTATAATAAGAAACAATAGAAGCTTTCCAAATTTTGCCCTGGGAAAGGTAAATGGGAGTGTAAAGATTAGATCTGAAAATTCCGCGGAAAGAAAACTTTTTCCTATCACAATGCAGCATAAGCATTTCACAACTTTGATTCTCTCATGTTGGGAATACATTGAGAACACTGAGCATTTATTCATTTATAAGGCTAAAACTAATTAAGGAAACAAGAATTTCAAGAAATCAAAGAGAATGCTAGCCAACTACAATCTTTACTTCCAAATTTATTTGGGATATGATAACGAAATGTTGAGCTCCCATATTGGCTCTTTAAAGATGAGATGGTTAATCCTCACCTCATGTTACAATCTTTACTTCATAGAAATTTAATCAGGGATATGATAATGCACTGTTGAGTTAGGTCCAAAGTCCAATTCTTTATCACAAAAAAGACAACAAGACTAGCTTAGACCAGCTAATTTTACTGAAACCACAATCCAAAAGCAAGAACAATTTGTAATTAGCAGCAAAACAATGACAAGAAATTGAAGTTGCAGAGAAGAAGGTACCTTGTTAGAAGGTGTGTTAGTAGTAGAATCTAATCGTGAGGGATTAATTACAGAAGTATGATTAAACAGCTCGAGATTATTCGCCGGATATGGAAACTCCTGCACATAACAAATCATCAAATGCATGAAATTTTAGGGAAAAAAAGCTCAAAACTAAACTTTCCAGTATTCCACCAACAAGGATTGTGATGGGATTGTAAGTACTACTTCATACTGAACCAGAGATCTCGAGTTGAGTCCTCTGTAACATTTTACCCTCAATGTGGGAATTTTCAACAATCCGGATTTAGTTGAGCCTCAATGCAAGTACCAAATATCGAGTGGGAAACTATGATGCGATGGTACTACTTTATCCTTAACTAGACATCTCGAGTCCGAGTCTTATATAAAATTTTACCCTCTGTGTGGGACTTGACACAATCCGGATTTAGCTGAGCCTCAATACAGGTAACAGACACCAGGTAAGAAATTGTGATGAGATGGTACTACTCTATCCTTAACGAAACATCTCAAGTTCGAGTCCTAACTAACATTTTACCTCAATGTGGGACTTTACCAAACACTGGATGGGAAATTGTGATGGAAAAATACTACTTTATCCTTAACTAGGCATCTCGAGTTCGAGTCTTGAGTAACATTTTACCCTCAATGTGGGGACTTTACCAAATACCGAGTGGGAAACTGTGATGGGATGGTACTACTTTATCTTTAACTAGACATCTCGAGTTCGAGTCTTGAGTAACATTTTACCCTCAATGTGGGGACTTTACCAAATACCGAGTGGGAAACTGTGATGGGATGGTACTACTTTATCTTTAACTAGACATCTCGAGTTCGAGTCTTGAGTAACATTTTACCCTCAATGTGGGGACTTTACCAAATACCGAGTGGGAAACTGTGATGGGATGGTACTACTTTATCTTTAACTAGACATCTCGAGTTCGAGTCTTGAGTAACATTTTACCCTCAATGTGGAACTTAACCCGACACCAGATGGGAAACTGTGATGGGATGGTACTACTTATTCCTTAATCAGAGATCTCGAGTTCAAATTAAAAACATTTTACCCTCAATGCCAAATGTGGTACTTCCCTCAATCCAAATTTAGCTTAAAACTCAATAGAGATGCCGACACCGGATGAGAAACACAAAAGTAAAAAAACTAAACGAATTTCAGTAAACTTACAGAGGTGTTGTTGTTGTTGTTATCAGGTTCATCAGAAGGAGGGTTTTGGTATCCACAACGAAATGACCCACAAGTCTGAACAAGAATCTTTTTTACTACTCTCTTCAGCTTCCCTGAATACGACAACGACGACTCTCCGGCGAAAATACCCATTTCCGGCGACGACCCTTTTCGTAAAATTCACTGTACAAGTGAGTAAACTGAATGTATTATACAAAACCCAAATGGGAATTCACTCACTCTCAGTGAAAAAGCTTATACCCACTACAGAGAGAGGGAGAAATATACAAAATAAAGGGTTAAAGAAAAGTTGGGTATCGCCAGTTTTCAATAATGGGGGGTCAGTCAGTCCCCCTCTTTAGTCTTTACTGTCGCTCTCACACACACACTCAGACTCAACAACAACTTTTTTCATCAAATATTGAGGTGTGTAGTGATAACACTACTAAAAATAGAAATAATTATGTTATAAAATATAATGGAAAACAAATATTCATTGAAATATTGAAAATAACTATGGAATATTTATTTTTTTCTAACTAATTCAATCAAAATAACTATGAAAATAGTGCAGGAATTTTTAGGCATAAATTATAATATATAAAGTTGCTTTTTAACTTGATCTGAGCTCACATTTATGTCATCTAACTTTGGATGTGCATAAGTAGACACTTAAATTAGTATAAAGTTAAACAAATAAATGTGTGCATCTCACGTAACATCCTAAATGGAAATTTGAGTCTTATGTAGTGTCCTACGTGTATTATGTCACATAAAATTCATGTGTCTATTTATTTAATTTTATACAAGTTTAAGTCTCTATTTGTGCACACCCAAAATTAAAAGATATAAATATAAAATGAGGTCAAATTAAAGGAAACTTTATATATTATGTCAATTTTTTATAGTGAGGTATTTTAGTAGAAGCTAAGCTTTAGAAGAAGAATGTTTTTTTTTAGTAATGGAAGTATCCATCTATTCTTTAATTTTACCTTTTGATTAAGTTCATGATATGAAGTCGCTTTAATAGAGTAATGCTTTTATATTTAAATTGAGATTTCTTGATGTGAATTTAGATTAATTGAGCATTAACAAATGAAGATCCAAATAGAAATTTTTTAATGACATAAAATATCGAATTTATAAATTTTAAATTCTGACATCGCTCTCCCGTTGCCCCTCTCTCTCTATATTTCAGTTAAAGCTTCTGCTTACTGTTTAGTCTTCACTCTCTAATTTTTCTTTGGGCTCTGTGTCTTTTTTCTCTTTCGTTTTGGTAGTGTTATACTCCATATTTTGGGCGAGATTTGTAAAATGATCGGATTATAAAGGTTTATTATATGTAATTTTAATTTATATATTTTTTTAAAAATAAATTAACTTGTGATCACTTAACAATAACGTTATCAGTTACGTCAAAACTCGCGCAAATTAGTCCATTATTAGTGTTACCCCACTATTTTCTTTTTGTACTTTTCCTTTTGTCCAAACCCGCTCAAAAATTTCAGCTTTTTCTTCATTTTTGCTTTTGTGCTTTTTGCTATTATAATCATTGGATTATTTTAAATCTAATTGGACGATCTGATTAATTTGAAATCGCATTAATAAATTTTATAAGAAAGAATTTTTAAAAATATGATTTATCGATTCTATTTGACCTCAAATTTTGTGGTTCATTCATGACGATCTAGTGAATGATGCTCGTATTTCTTAAGGACTAATGTCGATTTTTTTTAGGGGGAAGGAGGGAAGAGAGTTTTCGAGCTACAAAATAAAAATTTAAAATTATCTGAATTTTTTCGTATGTATTAATAAACGAATGTGATCATTATTTCTTAAGGACCGATGTCACTTTTTTTTTGGGTGGGGGAGAGTTTTCTATCCACGAAACAAAAATTCAAGATTATCTCAAATTTTTTGAACGTATTGATTATGAATGTAATCTGATAAGTGCCGTTTGCAGAAGGTGGAATACACTCAAACTTTTTAATTCTATTTTTACGAAATAAAAGGACTATTTCCGATAAATGCTCAACTCAATAAAAGAAATATTCAAAACAGATTTGAGAAAAACAAAACTATTTTCTTTTCTTTTTTTTGGTTAAAAAAAACAAAACTATTTTCATACGTGGGAAGCAATAAAGCATTTGAAATGACCAAATGAAGTACAAAATATATATATATATATCTATAAAAGGAACAAGCTAGAAGGAAGGACTTTGGCTGATTTTTCAAAAACAAAAAAACAAAAGCTGGACTATTGAAAAGACCCAAAAAGATTGTTCACAATTTTGAATTTGAAGTTTTGAATTTTAAATTATTGTCTTATGAATTATTATCATGTTTCAATATGTTACCTAATCCAAGAAATTGTTTGTCCATATAAGTTCATCATCTTGAGGGTTCATTTCGTCGGTGGGATAAGAAATAACAATTCTAAAATAAAATACTAAATTTTATTACTTCACATTTGTTTACTAGTATTAGTTAGTCCGGGAACAAATTTTGAACTAAAATAATAAGATCAACTATTACGTATAGAAGGTGAGGATATTCCAACCCATAGTATATCTTTGTCTGTTCCATTCTAGTAATCAAATGACCCTAAGTATTCACATCAAATCAATATATATATATATATATATATATATTTGATGTAAACTCAACATATATATATATATATATAAGTACACAAAAAGAAAATGATTTGAATTTTTTTTGGGTCCATCTAATAATATTAAAGATTTTGCATGTGACAAAGATGGGGAACAAAGAGGCCCATGGTATACCACATTTTATAGTACTTTATTGGCATGTCTAGGGTGATTTCACTTTAACTTTAACTCACTTTTTTTACTAAAAAAAATTAAAAATGTCCCATTTTATTAAATAATAATACAAAAAAAAAAAAACATCAAAAAACCAGTCTTGTCATATTTCACTTTAAGCCATAAAGGAAGAAGAAGTTAAAGATAAAAGAAACAAAAAGAAATGAATAGAGTTCATTTGTCCTATTCCAACTAATTGAAAAGGTGTATTACCTTATATTATAATATATATAAAAGGAATTTGGACTATTGGGTGTTGGCATTATTTCTCATTCAAAGATGTTACTTTGTTAATAATTGAAACAAATTTCTTGAAAGAAGTGTTTGGTGTATTGACTATTGACTTTCTTGGAAGAAAATATTCACATCTAATAGTTTCATATTGGGATAAAACACTCAATAACAAAGATTACTATATAATCAGGGATCAGAAAGACTCAAGTTTAAGGCATATACTTATCGATTGCATCTCTTTTTAATATAAACTAAAAAATGGAGGCGCATGATCTCGCAAATTACTTTTAAATAAATTTAAAGAATTATATAAGAACTATTATATTTTATGATTGGCAAACAAATGTTAAGAGAGAATAGGACCGCTAATATGCCCAATATTCCTAAATCCTAACAGAAGTTGTGCATGCAAAAAAAATAAATCTTAATGATTCATGGATCGAGAACGCGAAATAAACCTAGGTAAATTTCCTTTAATTTAGAGCCAAGTATATTAGATAAGGTATATAAGGTAATTGGTTGATGATTATTTGTCTGTATTTTTATAAATTATCAGTTATAACAACTTATCAAGGATAATTTCATAGATCTTTCTCTTGCCTTTGTAATTTTGAGTTATTATATTTACCAACCTTAAATTGATATTTTTGTAATGAAACTAGTATTAAATGATAAAAAAAAAAATTATAGTGATATTCCACAGTTTCACTTTTTAACTTAAGTATGATAAGTTTTGTAACATATGGGTGTGTTCAGTATAAATGAAAATATTTTTCAAAGAAAGAAGTGAATATTTTACTTTTTTTTTTATATTCAGTACATAAGCAAAAATAATTATCTTAATATTTGTATATTATCTAGACATATAATATGAGAAATGGGGTGGGGAGGTTAGAGGTGCAGGGGTCGCAAGTATGAGGTGTTCGGTATATAAGCAAAAACAATCATTCTAACAATATATGTATATTATCTAAACAAATATTATGAGAAAATGGGACAGGGAGGTAGAGGTGTACGGTATGAGAGTGAGGATGAAAATGAAGTATATCGAAAGATAAACAGGACACAATCAATGTAGAATGTCACTTATAAAACTTGTTTTTTTCTACTATTACTATGAAAGTCATTTTCCTCATTCTTAAGGAACTTATTTCCCAAGAAAATGTTCAAAATCTTGATCAAGCGAACATGAAAAAATTGAAAATGTTTTCCTCCATACCGAACACACCCATAAATATTGCATTTTGCAAAATAGAGAGGGTAGTTTATCCAACAAACAAGGTAAGATATACACAAAACCTTACCCCAGCAAGTAGAGAGGTTGTTTCTAATAGGCCCCTTGACTGTTAATTCAACTCTTCAAATCACAAGCATATGATAATTGGGAGGGTTAAATCTAATTATTTGTTAGATTAATGAGAAATGTGACATTCCTACATTGAAAAAACAGAAGAATATAGTCCATTTCAAGCTGAAAATGACTTTCTGGTAATAAAAACAGGGAATAAGAATGAGAATGTGATATCCAATTGACAGCTTAAACGAGTTCAGAACCATAAAAATTGAACTCATCAAGTTTAAATCTTATATGCGCCTTTGACTACAAGTAACAAAAATCAAATAGCAACTAAAAATTTCGATCCTTTTGCCACAGTGCATACCTCGTTGCAATGGTTACGAAATAATAGAAGTATAAAACTAAACTAGACCAGTGTTTACTGCACTTCCAATGTATCCTGAATGCTGCATCTTTGGATACAACATAGATCATCTAGCAAGGTGACTTCTCATTTTTCCCTTTTCCGCGCATTTTATTAGTCTATACCTACCATAGCCCCCTCTTGGTTAGTGCATGCAGCAAGTGCAATAACCCGGTTCAGTTGGGGAAATAACTAAGGCACATGAATATATACATCTAAACTGTACTTGCTAGTTGCTACTACGTGACCAGAGACAGTCAGCACAAACTTTTCCTCACTCCTTACATTCAAAATGCAAATATACAAGTATTAATGCTAAGTTATCTATAAAGCAAGTAATGTGAAAACAACATACTTGCAATGCTTTTTACCTGAATTCAAAAAGAACCACCATTGAAGACATTAGTGTGATAAACTGAGTAATGGAAGATCCATGGTCACCCTCGAGAGTGGCAGCCATTAGTATACAACAATCCAAAAAAGAACAGTAAAATTCAAAGGGAGAGCTATGGTTAATCATTTACAACAAATCTGGACTTATGCTGTCATCCAACAATGGATGTCAAGAATAAAGGTAATACAGAATGTTCACTCTA